GGTTGTTCTTTCCTTGCCGTGTGCATGTCTTCTTCCTCCTCCTCAATCAGCCGCTCCTCATCCACTTCTTGCTCTTGAATTTGTTTCATGAACTCCATAATCTGCCCAATTTGCTCCTCCATATCCATCATCTCCTTCTCGTTATTTGCTATCCGGTTATTTTGATTTTGCAACCCCTGCGAAATAGAGGTTAGTAATTGCATAGCTTGATCACTTTCCAAGGACATACCTGAATGAGATGATGCCGAAGGTTGTTGGGGTTGTTGAGGTGCATACGGCTTGGAATAAAAACCAGGGGGGTTTGGCCTAAATCCTCCTTGTTGGGCAGCTTGTTGTGGCTCCCTCCATCCGGCATTGTAAGTGTTCGAGTATGGGTTGTTTTGATTTTGTCCTTGGAAACCAATTGCATTGGCAGATTCCCACCCACCATTCTCGATTAGTTGAGGGCACTTGTCGGATGGATGCCCTTGAATTGAGCACACGCCACAAACTTGGTGTTCTTGTGCTTTTGGACCAATCACAACCTGAGAAACAAGAGAGGTAAGATTAGCAAGTTGTGATTGAATTTCAGAAATAGCACTCACCTCATTTACACTTTGTTGCCGTGGGGCTTCCCTTTGTTGAGCCTCCTCGACTTGGTTTTGTGAACCCTGCACCAAACAAAGTAATTCATTAAGCTTTTGATTATAATCTATTGACGAACTTGAGTTTGCTTGGGCATATTGAATATGAGGTTGTGGTGGATGCATAGACGTTGAATAGAACTCCTCATAGGGCTGCCAATATCCGTCTTGTTGAATATGTTGAGGTTCCCACCACATAGAGTTTGAATGATCACTCCAATCCGAATTGTAATTATTGGAAAACATGTCGTTCCTTGATTGATTATGATCAAATGTACCAACTCTTTGCATTTGGTACTCTTCCATAAGCTGTGACAAAAGGGAAACACTATCAAGTGCCATGTCTTGCGTATAAAATCAACAAAATAAAACTAAAAATATATACACACAAACGAAAATAAAACAATCCAAGAGATTAGCAAAGTTGCTAATCCCCGGCAACGGCGCCAAAATTTGATGCGAGAATTATACGTGCACAAATTAAACCCTCTTTTTGTCAATTGTAGTATAAGTATAAGTAGGGATCGTTCTGGACCGGGGATTAGGAGGGATTGTTAATCTCTTGGAAAATGACTCAAAAACGTAAAAACAATATAAAACACTAAACTAAACTCGAAAAATGCAAAACTAAAAGTGAGAAAGAGTAAGACTAAAACTTAAACAAAATAAAGGGGGATTGAGTTTTGGACGGAATTAAACTAAATGAACAAATTGCAATTAAAACAGAATGTAAATATGAAATTGATGAAATAGAATGAATGGATGCTACCCAAGGGGTTCATCTACACACATGTTACACTTGCATAATAAAAAGATTTCTAATTGCATTTCAATAAACCATGAATTCTCAACGCCCCGGGTTAATTAGGTCCGCTTAAATTAACCGTCAAGTTTTCCTTAAGTTAATGAATTGGATGATTGCATACGACAACCCAAAGCATTCCTCACAAGTTCCCTACATGAATTGCATAATAGAGATACAAGCAAGAATCATTAAGCAACATGAAAACTATAAGTGTTGACGAGGCATTCGTTACTATGATTGCATGAAACTTATGCCAAGAATATGTTTAACGCGATTGTTTATAAGCAACCTCCACTACTTGTGAATATAAGTTCATAACTATTACGTGAAACTCACTTATATTCTAGCGTCAAATTCATGCATGAAAATTAAGCGTCGACTCTCAATAAACATACATAAATAGGTTATCAATCAAATAGTTAAACAAATTGAATTCACAACTTATGAAACGTAATTAGAAGTACTCAAATCATATTGCAAGCATAAACATATATTTCGAATCACCCCCTAGCCAAGGGGGGTTTATTTCCTCATACGTACAAAACAAAGAGAATTGAAATTAAACATTGAAATCAAAGAAACGCCTAAACATTCCAACAACTCAATCTTGAATTGTATGAACGTTTAGGCCCTCTTATCTTCCTCTTTATTGTAGCATAAGGTCTAGGGATAGTTGGTTGGGGGGATGGAAGTGTTGGGAAATTATGGAAATGGATGAGAAGTGGTGGAAATGGAAGATGGTTTTTGGATGCTAAGGGAGAAAGGAATGTGTTTGTGGAGTGTTGTTGTGTTGTGAATGAGATGGAATTGAATGAAATGGAAGTGTGGGATGAATTGAATGATGCAAATGAATGAAGTGTGTGTGGTTTATATAGGGAGAGAATGGATGGGAGAGCATGTGAATGATAGCTAGGAGAATGATTAAAGGGGTGTGAATGGTTGGAAATGCATGTGGGTGAATTGGTGGTGCAATGATGAAAGAATAAGTGCATGTGTGTGTTTTGTGTTGGAATGAATGTGGATGCATGATGAAGAGTTAATAAATAATGCATGTAGGGTTAGCTAGGTTGGCTTTGTTTGGGTGCATGTGAGTTAAAGAGGGAGAATGTGGTGAAATGATGAAGTAGGAAGGTGGAAATGCATGTGAATGCATGTGAGTGCATGTGTGTGTGAACTAGGAAAGTGGGAATGCATGTGGAAGAAATTGCATGTGGAAAGGTTGTGAAAGCATGTGAATGCATGTGAATTAGGTTGGAAAGAGGTGGGTGTGCATGTGAGTTGAAATGCATATGTTTAAATGGTTGAAATGTGTAGATGATTATGAGTATGATAAGTGATAAGTGTATGGTTATGATAAGTGATAAGTGAATGATTTGTTAAGTGATAAATGAATGATATGTTAAGTGATAAATGAATGATATGTTGTGAGTGATAAGTGAATGGAAGTGATAAGTGATAATAGGGCTAGTTTAAAGGGCTAGGGTTTAAGTACATAGAATGGGCCTAAAATAAGTTGGTTTGCATGGCATAATATGTTTGATTGGGCTAGAGGTTTTCCATGGCTTAAAGGATTTGTTTGATTGGGCTAGGCCCTTTGTTTGATGTCCCCAAAGAGCATACAAAGCTTCAATTTCGTCCATCCTCTTTGCTCCATGATTAAGCTATCCAATCCATGCCCAAAAGTGCCCCAAATAGCCTCAAAATGCACTTTCTTGCTCCCTAAGCCCTTAGAACCTGAAAACACACAAAAGAAGCATAAAGGACTAAAATAACTAGAGAAACATAACGTAAATGCACGAGAACAAGCCATTTAAGTCGCATGAATATGCTCCTATCACGAACAGGTTGGGCTTTTTGGTAAAATGAATAGAGAGCCTAAGGCCCAAGCCTTAAACACGACCCAAAGGGACATGGTTTGGTTGGGTTTGTGCGAGCCGGCTCAAGGCCTGGTCTCAACAGGACACAAGGGACGCCGAAGCTTTCCCAGCTTTGACCGACGGCGACACTTAGTCTTAGGGTTCAATCTAGGCACCAAAAGGAAGCACAAGGTGAGAGGAGTGAAATGGTACTTGTGGTTCACCGTGGAACGATCGACAATAGTCAGAAAACTTCTCGACACCCACGGGGCTTGCCGGAGCTGAGTTTTTTCCCTCCCAAGTTATTTCAGTGCTAAAACAACGATCCACAAGCATATTCTAGGTTAGAATTAAGCCACAAGGATGAAAATGAAGAGTTTTCAAGTGTCCCGAGGCTTATCCAAATCGGAGGGATGAGAAACCTCGCTAGAGTGTTTTCTAGGCTTCGCCACACCTTGCAACGATGAGGGAGAAAGAAAGAGAGTTGACGAGGATAATGATGACACTGCGCCGTCGCCGGGGTACCACGAAAGGTGTGTGTGGGTGTGAGTGAGGGGAGGATGAGTGAGGGTTGAGAGAGAGAGAGAGAGAGAGAGAGAGAGAGAGAGAGAGAGGAGAGTTGAGAAAGAAAGGAGAGAATCTGAGAGGGTCTTAGGGGAAGGGAGGAAAAGAGAGAGATGGGGAGAGTTGGGGTGCTACCACGTGGCAACTTGTGAGTGGAGAGGAAATCCCACTTTTAGATCCGGATTGGGTAATGAACTATGGACCAAAATTGATAATTCCATTAAACTTTTGGAAAAATTACGAAATTATACATATAATTGAGGGCGGGGTGTAACATTTTCTCTCTCCTCCCCTCTTACTTTGAATCTATCTCTCTTTTCTTCTTTCTCTCTCCTCCAATTCCCTCTTTTTTTTCTTTCCTCCTCTCTCCTCATTCTCCCTCTCTTGCGATCCCCTTTCTTTGGATCTCTTTGTCCAATTTAAGAGTCATAAAGAAAATTATTTTCAAGAGACGTTTTTAAGCAAGTTTGGAGAAATGATGAATTTTTTTTTTATAGGATACCAAACGGGGCCCATAACAACTTCTCCCCTGCAACACCACTTAAACACTTGAATCTTGTTTTTAGTTTCGTTAAGAAGAACATTTGCTTCTTGGAATGAATTGATCAATCACGGGAGCATGTCTCTCCTATACTATGTGTTCACATATAAAAAGACAACATCCCTCTATGCACCAAATTGATACGACTTATAAGTGATAGGTCTTAGACTCGAATTCGTGAGTGACAAGTTTGAAACAAATTTATTCCCACACTGCTCAGTGTAAATATATTGTTGTTAAACTATTCCATATTAGTTTCTTGCTATTTGGTACTACAATTTAGTAATATTCTTCTTCACTTGTAAATAAAAAATATTAGAAACAAATTTCGTGAATAGCGACTTCATACTAATTTATTCTCCCACCCCTTAGTGTAAATGTTGTAATTATTCAGATGGCTTCCAAGTTGTTTCTAGGTGAAAGAATTTTGTTTGCATTCATAACTAAAGTAAAACAAAATAGTTACCCATTTTCTTGGAAAGTAGAAAAACAAAGTACCTTGTAAGTACACAATACACTATATGAGAAAACTGCATGTCACAGATCTGTAAATTAGTGGTTATGGACATCAAGTACGATAGATTATTGGTTTATTCTGTTTCATGTACTAATTACAGTGGAAGGAACATCCTTAAACGCTGCAGTCGTTCTCCAACCAACTGCAGTTGTCCTTTAATCAGATTTCTAAATGAACGGGAAAAGATTACGAATAAGAAGAGTGCAACAGCAGACGAAACCCCGCTGACAAGGAATAAACCAAGAAAGTTGTAGAGGCCAAGAGTATTGGAGGGACTACTTATAGTATTATCATCCGGCATAAAACTTGTTTTTCTTGGAAACCAAGTCTCTTCCAGGTCTAAAAGCTTTCCTTCTTCTCTCATATGTCGTATTTGTGTTGATAAGTCATGGACCAATTTCGAACCTTTAGGGAAAACCTGAAGATGAATGATATATGCACAACATATTATAAGCTTATACAAGTATTTTCTTATCTTGTTGTTACAAATTCTTGTTTGTAATTACGCATGTAACAAATGGGATAGATCACTCACAAAAGCAAAACCATTGGTGGTAGACTTGGTTTTAATGAGGGAGTAGTCAGAAGAATACTTTGCAAGGAAGATATTGATATATGGAAGCTCATCAATTATCGCCGAAACACCACCATGCTTGCTTCCTTTTGATAAAGCATCTGCATATTCTTCAACTGAACGATACGGCTTAATCTCTTTGAATTTCAAGTTCACTGTAACTCCCAATGAACCTGATTGGTAACCTATATAGTTTCCAATTGAGTCCATTCGTATCTGTTTAACTGTCATCATTGACGCTAAAGTAGCAGTGTAACTGGATGTCAATATAAGCACTACAAACATCCATATTATCACTACAAACTTTGCCAGGTTGCTTAGTATCTTCTCCCCTGCAGGAGTTAACAAATACAGATCTTAAACATATTTATGAGTTGAGCATTTCGTCATTAGCTGAAATAAAGTTACACCAACTAGATAAGTGAGGAGGTATATAGAGCACTTACTATGAGCAAATGCAAGGGTTGAGAAGGAGAACCATAATATTGTTCCGATTTGCTGTGAAGTTGTGCCTTGGAATTCTTGGTTGACAGGACGCTCAATTAACCACACAATGAAACCCGTAAGTATAAAGAAACACGCACTCGTTATCCAAAGGTATGCTGAAAGTGGTTTCAGGAAAATCCACATGTTGTCCTTTCGATTTGGCACTAGTATTCCCACACCTAGGTCAGTATATGGCATTGTAAAATCAACATATTGAGATCTGTTCGATGTGATTGTTATATCTCCAACGACAGCATCGTACTTCTAGTGTATCGTGTCCCCGGTATATGACAAGGAAACCCAAGAAATAAATAAGAAATTCAGATAAGATACTGAAAGATAGATTAGGTAAAACAGAAAAATCATTACTTAATTTTATGAATTTATATTAATTAACCATACCTGGAGATAAACCTGGTAAACAAGATCACTGTAAGTCCCCGCCATAACTCCATGTTCATTCTCAAATGGAAAAAATTCATAATGTACTTTATACGGCAACGCACTGATTGCAGTTTTGAACACATCGATACTGAACCCAGTGACATTTGTTCTATTGGTTTGAAGATCATGGTCCACACGCACAAGTTCCTTGAACCCAACTCTCACTGGAACACCAATTCTCAATTTTATTTCACTACTCAATTGCCTTTTAGATCCTCCTGGCCATCTGATTGTTTTCAAATGGTTGCTTAAAAGAAGATTTCTCCCATTGTTAAGCATGTGTGACTGAGCTTTATCGGTCTTTTCTTCGAAAAACCAAAATCCGACCCTTCTTGCTTCTTTTCCTATCACATTTACTATCTCTAATGTACCTGAAATCAGTTTCCCCTTTGGAAATTGAATTTCACCACTTAAACCCGTAAACCTCCTTTGCAATATTTCTCTTAGTAGCACAACTCCATGTTTGGATCTAGTAGAATTTTGAATACTTGCTCTTTCAATTGCTTCAGCTAGAGCCCAAGTTGCATCGTACACCCAGATTTTGTCTGCACTTAACTCACTTACTTTCATATTTGGATCCTCCATGTAAAGTTTGTTCATCACTTTTGAAGTAAGATTTTGCAGCCTAGTTGATGGTGGAATATAAGACTTCAAACCTATCACCCCTTGCATTGATTCAATCACATTAGAATCCATGAAATGCAAGAAATTCATGCTAGCTGATGTCAGAATCCAAGTATACCCTTCACTCATCATTCCTAACTTATTTACATTAGAGAAAAGGTGAGGCACAAGCAAGTGTGAAATGTGCACAACAAATACCTTTGTCTTCAATTTCATTAGCGTTTGGAGTTCTTCGAAGATTTGTTCATTTGTTGAGGATATAGCAACACAACTTTTATGTGCTATATACACATTTTTCTGTTGAAAGGAACTTGTCAAAGTTGGAATCATGTCATTCCCGTACTCTGTGTTGTCATACAGAAGTATGACATCCTTCCATTTATAAGCTTCAATGATGGCATTGATCCCCATAACTTGAGAAGTTTCATCTTGTGCGATCCCGACAGAGAAGGCATTCCTATCGTCATTTAGAGGAAGAGGAGGACTAGGTTCCGAAAAGGACATTATGGGCACTTTAGCTGCTTCTCCCAAATTTGCCAAAAGATTTGCTTCCACTCTTGTTTGTGCACCAATTATTGCTGCAACTTTAGTGTTTTCCAAAAGATGCAGAGCTGTGTTTTTGACAACTGAAAGTTAAATTAAAAGATGCAGAGTTGTATTGCTTCCACTTTTAGTTAGAATGACTTATTTCCTACGTATAAATGTATACCTTTTCTTTTATATACAATGATATTATAGTCAAATAGGTTGGAGGGTGGGGGAGGGGTGAGAATTTATACAACAGGCCAGACAAATAGATATCGAACTCAAAACAACTATTAAATCATCCTCGCCAAATATATGACCAAAACTAAATAGATGAACTGGTGCTATATCTGTAGTTGATTATAGATGAACTACTATCACTTTAAGTATGCACGTTTTCTAATCTGAAAAACCTATTAGATTAAATTGAACGATTAGTACTATCGCTATAGCTGCAAGCTGCTAAAGAAGAAAGATTTGTACCTGAAAGTCTCATATATGTCGAAGCAAATTATAAAAAACTATTTAAAAATGAATGGCTCACCAGATGATAGAGCATGCAGATGCTCTCCTTTGGAATCCCTACTGTGGAGAACAACTTTTGTGCTGTAGTCATTATGCTTATGGTAGAAATCAGATAAAGCTTCCGATATGCAGCTTTGAACAATCTTTCCCTCCGTCGATCCCATGTCAAGAATCAACCCGACATGAGTTTCTTCTATTTCACCATGTAAAGAACTGACAAGGCTAAAGAAGGTGAGAAATATCGAGAGGATGGCTTGTTTCTTCCTTTGATCAGACTCCATACGTACTACCAATTTTTAATTATGTATTTAATATTGCTCTTTGTTGGTTTAATGAACAGTCCCAATCTGTATATATCTTCTAGCTTATATATATATATATATGCTGCAAAATGGTTACTACATAATTAAAGAAGTTCAAGGAAGTAACGTGAAAGGTTGACCGAGGAATTGATCTACGTAGATAAAACATGCTAGTTTAGTCATGCGAAACAATTGTCACGTATACAAGTCTTGCATGACTTCAAGTTTAGTGATGTGAAATATTTTATGCGTACTTGGAGCAATTGTCACGCAATATTTCTTTTCATGTGTTAAAATACGAGGTACAACATGACTAATTTGTCTTACTTTTAATATACTAAAATAATTAAATATAAGTGTTATAATTTGAGTTGAATTATAAACGACGTGGTGATGTTCTAACTACATTGAAAAACCTCTTGAAGTCGTGCCCCAAAATATAAGATTTATCATATTTCAGAGTCAAACTTGAGCCCCCTATAAAACTGTGTTTTGAAACTGATTTTGAAATTTTATTTAGCTCACATTTTGGAATGATTAAGTTAGTTAGAAATAAATTTTTTTTACAACTCACTAATTAGTTCCACTTAATATTACGATCTAATAATACTTAGTACTGCAACCGATGACATTATTTCAATAATTTTAAGAGAGGATTTGCAAGTTCTTTACATAAATATTTTCATTAAAACGTAGCTGAGAAATCACATGGTTGAGAAGAGGATATATACATACAAACTAATTATGGAGATCAAGTCCAAATTAAAACTGGCAATTACTTTTTGACCGACGACTCGGTCTTTTTCATGGTTTGTTACTTTGATTGAGTCTCTTTTCCTTGAGCTTCCATTTTTGGTTCTTTCATTAGCTTTCAACGGTGGAGAACTTACATGCAAAGATTCAAGACTTTCCTATATTCAAAGATCCAAGACTTTCCTACATTCAAAGATCCAAGACTTTCCTTTCTCACCAAGTTGGCTACAATTTATGTGGATGCAAATTTCCGTCGTCTTTTTCTTTAACAAAAATGCACCGGCAAAATAATAACACCTAATATTAAGGTCAAAAGCCTCACGCGCCCATAATGAATAGGGGAGCTTTGGCTGAATAATCTATGATGCCAAAGTTAGAATTTTGAGAATAATGTGTTTAGGAGTTTATGGGTAGCAAATGACTTCGCTTTTTAGTGGAAGAATATGACTATTTATAGGGGAGTGGCCGGCCCTATTTGGAGAATAGTGGCCGGCCATATATGGTGAAATTGTGAGTATAATTGCAAGATATTATGTGAAATAATATCTTGCAATTAACTTGGCAATTAATCGTAGGTTAAATAGGAAAATTGGAAGTTACCCTTTGAATAAGGATATGATGAGTAGTAATGAGAGGGCTTTGAGCAAATACCATTTTGATCATGTTTGACACTTCCTTGATTGAACCGTTATTGTCTGTTGCATGACGTGGAAATCCGGGTATGTCTTGAGGGTAATTTTTTCCTTTTCACCTAAAAGTCTATGTGTCACCTCCATAATTTTCTTGATTATTTCTGGCTCCACAAATGCCTCCACACCTGTTGGGCTACTCACAAGAAAGGGCAACAGGTGTAGAGATCTTCCCTTGCTTTAGGAAACATAAGATTGTTTCCTATTTTGATGTAGATTCCTACATTAATTGGAAATTAAACCCTTCTAGGAAAGGGAAATAAATCACTTCCAAAGTCTATTTAAGTCTACCTTAAGCAGATGATTAAATTAACTTTAGAGAGCAATTTATTCTACTCTACAAGAGAGAGAATGCTAGATGAGATTTGTTCCCCTTCCCCTAACAATCTTCCACACTTGCCCCTATAAAGGACTGTCTTTCATTGCTTTCTTTATCTTCTAAGCGCCGCACTAAGGTAAGAAAAATTTAATTTTCCTTGTCTTTTTCTTAGATAGTGTTGTCGTGGGGCTGCCGTTAGGGTGGTGCGGCAGGTCGACTGGCAGAGGATAGGAGTCAACTCAACATAGGGCGGTGAGGTGTTGTGGCAAGGACCACTGCTTGGGTTACTCGATTTGGCTAGAGTCAAGGGCAGCTATACGACTAGGGCCATAGATTGAGGTGTTGAGGCTTAATGTTAGGTGAGCCGCATGGCTTATGTTCTTTGGGCTCTTGAACCTGATGTGGGCTAGGCCGCAATTGAGAGAAATGAGGAGTTCGCAGGCCTCATGGGCTGTTGGAATGCTGGGCATGCAGGCCTTTTGCTAGTTGGTTTGAGAGAAAAAAAAAATAAAGGAAAAGCCAACGTAGGTTGAGCTCCTCTGTTGAGTACCGTGAATGGCGTTGGCTGCTTAGTCCTCTTCGCTAGGAGAAATGTGGGCTGCTCCTAAGAGAGGAGATAAAAAGGATCAAGGCGAATGCATTGGCTCGTTCGATCGTTGTCGTGGAGCCTATTATGAATGAAGGTGGAAAGAAGAGATCTTCCCCGCCTGGTCAATAGATGCTGGTTGAGAAAAAACCAAAGATTTCTTTCGCTGCTCATAAGGGTCCACCTGCTGCTGAGAGGCTTGTGATTAACTTGACTTCTTTTAATGGGAAGAAAAATAAAGTTGCTAGATCTGAGCCTGTGACGTCTACCATGCCAAAAATGGCTAGTACGACTGCTAGTATGTTTGCTCAGCGTAGAGATTCTGTCATACCCTTAGTGCCGAAGTCTGTACCAAGACATCCGTTGAGAGCTCAGTCTGGTTCTCCTTTGGAGAAGCATGCTACTATAAAGAGTGATAAGGTGAACTTTGCTGCTAAAGTTGTGTTAACACCCACTCCTTTTGTTGCTGGGATTGATTTGCCTGTTGAGAAAGAAGAGATTGCTCGCATGGGTAGTTGTGAGAAATCCACCAAGCTTATTTCTGGAGAGTCTGCTAAGATTTATGCACTTCTGAAACCCGATCTGCTTGAAGATATGGACGCATGTGCGAAAATTGTTGATGGCGTCGGAGGGGTTGTTTGCCTACGTTCCTTTGCAAAGCATACAACCTAATATAGAATAACTGTTTTGCTTGTTATAATGCAGAAAACGGCGATTCTGGTAGCCGAGTCTATTCTCCTTGACCAAGAGGATACCAAGGCTGCTAAGGAGATGACAAAGGCTATGGTAGCTAAAGCTTATTCTTCTGTCGAGATGATCAGAAAGTTGGAGTCTGAGCTTGTCACTTTGAAGGGGTCCAATATCTCTGCCCCTACTTCTATGCAGCTTGAGACCGCTTGCCAGGAAATCGTTGACTTAAAGACTAGGCCTGACAGGATCCAAGTTAAGTATGAAAGTGCAGAGAATGAGATTGGCTATTACATAAATTAGATTCAAGATCTTAAGCGTACCGTTTTTGAGCTTCGTTCTACTGCTTACGTAAGTGATGATTGCTGTTTATAATAAAGTGATCCACTTCAAGAAAGTCATCAATAAGCTTGAACCCCAAGTGTTGGAACTCCAAGGTGCATTGAAGATCAACGAAAATATTAGGAATGAAGTGGATGAATTGCATCGCGTCCGTGTTGGTTTGCTCGAAAAGAACAAGTAGCTGAAGGGTGAGAAGGCTGGGCTCAAGGCTTCGCTTATTCAGAGTCAGGCTGATTTCTACAAGCTGGGTTATGTAGATCATCTATTTGGTAAGCCATTAGACTTTGAGTTTGCTGGGAAAAACTTTGGGACCTTGTCTATTTCTCTAGAAAACTTGCTTGCCTTTACTTTTGAGGCTTCCATTCGTGACGTAGTTGGATAAGTTGATGCCCAAGCTGGGGCAGCCAAAGGTGAAGCACTGGATGATGCCGCTGCTGAGAGTGTTGCGGCTATTGAAGGTATAGCTACCGAGTAGTCGTCGGATGTCCAAGCTGCTGAAAAGTAATCTTCTAGGTAGCCTTTGGGATTTTCTTTGTTTTCCTTGTTGATTTTTGCTTTGCTTGAACTCTTTCAGGCTTTTCTATTTGTTTATCAATTTTGCTAGAAAATTTAATAAAACTTGTTTTCTTCGCTTTTCTTCATCTTCGCTTCTTTTGTTTACGCCCAACCTTTGACCTTTTGACCAACGCCAGATATGCTACTAACCATAGGGTTGGCAACCAGATGCCTTGCTTACAGAAGCAGACAAATCCGCGGGACCACTTGGTTGTTAACCTTGGCTTTCTTTAATCCTTTGAGTTGTGTGGCCTGCATCATAACATACTAAAGATTTTTGGGTCATGAAATTTGCTAACCTTTCGTATCAAAAGTACGCGGTTGTATGGAATTTTGTAAGCAAAGGTTCGAGAGAACTCCTTACTCTTTATGTAACTAATTGCGTGGGTTGCATAGCAAGTATCACAACACTTTAGGAATTAGTGTAGATCTAAACAATCATTTCGAGCTTGGCAGAGGTGAAGCTTATCGACTATGTAGCATGTCAACAGTGGATAGAGCTTTGTATATGCATGCTAACTATTTAACCTTTCACAAAAAATGTGCAGTTGTATAAGTTTAGTGTGACTTACTGCTCGAAGGGCAAGCCATAGGCAATCTTTTGGAAATTGTAAGCTACCTTAATGTACTCGGTAGCAGCTTTAGGATTTCAAGGTAGCCGTCCATAGGATGTACTGCATAATATACCTCCTCCATCTTTGAGGCCCGGTTCCTCACGGATTAGGCTAAGAGACCAAAAATCCTTCAGTTGGCTAAGCCTTGAAAAAGACCATTGTAGCTACTTTTAGGAATCCCGGCACAAACCATCGTGCATCTAGTTACACCAGGGAAGCTCGACTTATCCACGTCTAGATATTCGAAGTGTATAGTTTATCTTTCCGTATCAGGTAGTAAACTCATGTGGGTGTCGAGGAATTGGTTTAACCTCTTACACTGGAGAGCATGGTTAGTCTGCAAAGGGGTACAATTTTTGTGATAACTCCCTAAGAAGGGCGCAATCCTCTTTTGAAGTGC